GCTGGCGTCCCCGTCCTCCCGGGAAGGCTCCTCCGGCCGGGCCCGGGGCCTCGGGGGGCACTTAGGGCCCAGGGCCAGCTCTATCTGGGCGTACACCTCCACGCGCGGGAAGATCACCCTCCTGGAGGGAGAATCGACGTACGCAGCGTCTGGGAAAGACGGCAGCGTGGTCACAGGTGCTCCCGGCCCCGCCTGCCCACGGCAGCCCGCAGCCCGTCGCGTTCCGAGCTGCGAATCCTTGCTTTACTTACCTGAAGTTATAGTTACAAATGCGATGGTTCCTGGACCTTTTCGATTTTGATCGGTGTGTATTAGCACACAGAGCACTGAGGTGCAGTGATGTACACCGGTAGAGGCCCACAACATATCGTGATCATGTTCCTTCCTGTTAACCCTCTTCCCCACCACTACGCGAACGCCTTCCTCCCTTTCTTTCCTTCTCTGCTTTCGTAGGTTCCTGAATTCTTGGAACTGACTGGGTTTCAGGGGAAGGCACGCATTGCTGCCAAAATAACCTAAAGAACCCTAAGAAATCAACTGTGGGCTTCAGTTAATAACAGCGTGTACAGCAATTCACCCGTTGTACCCACGCCATAGTACACCTGTGCCATCCTATGTTATATTACCCAACAAAGTGGGGCGTTCATAACAGGGTGGGAAGAGCACAGAAACTCCCTGTCCTATCTCACAGTTTTTCTATAAATCCAAAACTATTATTGGGGCAGGTTTTAGCTCAGTGGTGCCGCTGCCTGCCTCGTAAGCACAAGGACCAGAGTTGGATCCCAGGTACCAAAATAATAAAATAAAATAAAACTATTATTAAAAACAAAGCTTATTAAAGGTCTAGCAGGGAAAATGGGAAAGGGGTTAAATAGACACTTCACCAAAGAAGATACAAGAAGTTGGCAAATAGGCAAATGAAAAGATGCTCAAAACCCTTAGGCATTAAGGAAATGCACATTAAAGCCATGATAAGATGCTACTGTTAGAACAGCTAGCACTGAAAGATTCACCATACCAAGTGTTGGTGAGAATTTAGGGAAACCAAACCTGTCATCTGATACTGGTGGGAATGTCAAATATCACAGGGCTTTGAGAAATAATGTGGGAGTTTCTTAAAAAGTGACACATACACTCTGGTTAAATACCCAAAAGAACTGAGGAGAAGGCTGGAGATTTAGCTCAGTGGTTCTGCCGCCTGCCTCACAAGCGAAAGTTTGATCCCAGGTACCAAAAAAAAAAAAAAAAAAAAAAAAAAGAATCGTGAGGAACAAGTACACACCCCCACGTTCACTGCAACATCCAGCCATAGCCAGACCTGAAGATGAATGATAAAGAAAATACAACGCGTACAATACCACGTTAAGCAGGAAGAGCAATCCTGTCACAGTCTACAACACGGATGAACCCGAGGACACCGTGAGCAGTGAAACGTCGAACACGGTCGGTCTGCTTTTGTGAGCTGGCTAAGGCAGTCAGGGTCCTCCTAGGCAGCACATGTACTGAAATCGCAGCCACACCGAGGAGGTCAGCATGGGCCCTGTGCAAGGGTGGTATGCCAACTCGTGAGGCTGTCCCTAGTTTTATCAGCCATAAAGAAAGATAAATGTGGGTCCTTTGTAGGAAAATGGATGCACCTCCCGACCAGAATGCTAAGGGAAATAAACCGGGCACAGAAGGTTCCATGTCGCGTGGTTTCTCTTAGATGAGAAGGCCCAAAGTGTACATTTACAAAGCAAAGTGGGGCCGGGGATGGAGCTCAGTGGCGCTGTGCCTGCCTGGAAAGCGCAAGGTCCTGAGTTTGATCCCTGGTAGCAAAATAAATAAATAAAATAAAATAAAACAAACACTACTGAGTTCACACTTCAAAGTGACCGAGACAGTCGTGTGTCTTTTACCACGATTAAAATGTGTGTTTATAAGTAAAATATAGCCGCACTACGCAATCCAGGTACCCTACCGCTCCACCTTCAGCCAAAAGAAGGGAACGTGAGTGTCACGCAAAGCCTTAGGTGCCTGTGTTCTCTGTTCTCACCGCCTTGTCCTGCGGAGCCCAAGGCCTGAAAGCACCCAGGAGCCGAGCGAAGCTGGAGGATAAAGGAGCTGCGGAGTTTTCAGGCAACGGACCGGAAGGCACAAAAGGGAAAGACACGTACTATTTATATTTCCCCAGCGTGCATGAGCCTCGGGAAAATTATGCAGAGCCAAAGGACCCCGATAAAAGAGTTCGATCCGTAAGACTGCGCTTACCCAGAGCTCTAGAAAATGCAAGTCAATCTGTGATGACAGAAAGCACATTGGAGCGGGCTTAGAAAGGAGGGGTGACGGAGGAGACTGCGGGCTGGGCCGGTTGTGGCAGTGGCTTCACAGGTGTGGGGTGTGTCTGTGTGAGACTCGTCTGGTTGTGAAATGGAGGCCGGAGGGCGGCTCCTGGACACACCCGGGTGCAGGTGGGTACCTCGGCCTGCGCCCTCCCGGCACTGCTCACACCGCGCCGCACCCCGTGCGGATTCTCAGGCGCCAGCCGGTGGTGCCCTTGCCTCTGGCAGAGGGACTGCCTGGCAGCAGGAATAAGTGGGTGGATGCCAGTCCTTGGGAGGGAGGCGAATATCAATGATGAGTTGAAAGTGACATCTTTTTTGGGGGGGAACCGGGGATAGAACTTGGGGCCTTGTGCTTGACAGGCAGGCGGCGGAGCCACTGAGCTGAGTCCCGGGCCATCCTGATATCTTTCGGGGTGCAGCTTCCTGCTGGAGGTGACCCCCACCCCGAAAGCAGGCTGGAATTAAGAGCGGGACGCCGGGCACAAACCGAGGTTGCTCAGATGTCCGGAGCTCCTGTCCTGCCGACGTTTAGGGTCAGAGGAAGATCGGGTCCCAGCACCCCCAGGAGGACTGACGTGGGGTAACCTGTGCGCAGACCCATGCGCGTTTGCAGCCCCCCAAACCCCACACCCTCGGAGGCTGCTCTGGGCAGCTGCGAGTCCGGTGCTGGGGTGGGGAGGCTGAGGCCCTACGCACCCGCTCCCCGGGACTTTAGAGCACAAGTGTTCTGGGGCGAGAGGCGGGTGGGAGAGGTGTGGGGGGCCGGGCGGCACCCGAGGTGTGGAGGGGTCTCCTGAGGCAGGGAAGCGAGTCTGCTCCAAAATCCAACTCTCAATCACTTTTCTTCTCTTTCAGTGCTGCTGACGGAACTTTGTGCAAGCTTGGGGCAAGCGCTCTACCCCTGAGCTGCACCCCCAGCCCCCCAAATCCAAGGCTCGGCTCAGGGGGTCTTCCACACCCGGGGCCCTCGCCACCCACAGAGGCGCTGCCAGGCTTCCCGCTCCGGGGGCTCCGTGGGTGAGGCCCCCCGCTCAGGGCGCCCGCGCTTCAGACATCCGGGGTTCCGTCCTCACAGATGCCCGGATGTGGGGGTGGCCCTGTCCCCAGGAGGGGGCGGGCTGGGCTGGCCCTGGCGCGCGGCACTCAGTAGGAGCTGCCACGTGTGGGCCCTGGTGCTGAGGTTTCTGCGCTTTGCTCCTCTAACCCTCCCAGCAAGTCTCCGAGATGGATTCGGTTATTGGCCCACTTTACAGACGAGGAAACCGAGGCCGCAGGAGACCGGCCCAAACCCCACACTTAGTAGGTATCAAATTTTTCCTAAAAAGGAAACGTTGAGAGGGAAGGCGATTCTCCTGGGATCACACAGCTTGGGGTGCGGTTGGGGCCCAGGGCGACTTGCTCCAGGCCCAGGTCCTCCCCATCCTGCTGTCCTCTCCCCGCAAGGCCCCAGCCCCTGTTGTTGGAAGAAAGGACCCGAAAGAGAATAAAGAGACGAGATAAAGGGAGCGGGAGAAAGCAAGAAGCAATTCTGAAGAAGGAAAGCAAAAAGCGAATACAGCCCAGGAAGAAGCTTGTTCAGCCTTTAATCTCACCTCCTCGCGACAGTGTTACTTGTCACAGGGAATATTAAGAAACTTAGAGACATGAAGTCCAGGTTTCTGCGCAACTGTGATGGAATATTACACAACTCTGTAAAAACCATATGGCAACAGGGAAAGGCTCCCGAGAGAGCCCTGCCCTTCCATCTAGGAATCCCTTTGTCTAAAACCGTGTTCTATCTAAGGAGCTAATTCTAAAACTGTAAAAGCTCCTCTCATTTGTCTTTCTTTCTTTTTGTACCAGGGATCGAACTCGGAACCTTGAACTTTCGAGGCAGGCGGCAGAACCACTGAGTTAACAAAGATATTTGCCACGGGCTTCCAGGAGCCAGAGCATTTAATATGCACCCTGGGGGTCATTCTGTCCCTGACGGAGCCCTGAGGGGACCCAGACAAGGGACCCCCTTTCCAAGCCAGCACAGGCCCAGGGCTCTTCTCCCTGATTGGTTGATTAATACATCACTCAAAGTCTTGCCCGAACACAAACTTCTCACATTGATTGAAAACAAGGCTTTGTGGGGAAGACAGTAACACGGGAGTGAAAGAAATGAGATTCCTGGCCGAGATCTGGACCATGAGCTTCCTAGGTGCAGGTTTTAAATCCACAAATAGGGCCACAGTTGAGTCCTTGTCCCTGTTTCCCCTCTCCAGGCCATGAAGGCCCGGGGCTCTCACCCTTCCACTTCCTGTCCCGGCTCTGCTCTGCGCCCCGCTTCCCCTGCACCCCGAGGTACTCACTCAGCCGCCTCAGGTACGCCACCACGTCCTCATAGCCCCGGTAGTAGTAATCTTGCAAGATCTGGGGGTGCGGGCACCAAAAAACAACCAAACTGTGGCTACAGAGAGCTCCAGCCAGTCCCCTCCCCACCACCCGGAGCCGCTCTGGCGCTGCTCTTGAACTTTATTAGATGGACTTCAAAATGCACCCGTCCAGGGTCCCATCGCTAGCTCTCTGCTGAGATCTGAGAGCAATTCCTGACTGAGGCCCCAGCGACGCTGTGCTGGCGTCTTACGCTGTTCGCAGCGCATCCTCAGCCCTCCCCAGATGCTTACGGGAGAATTGAAGATGCATTTGGGCCATGGCAGGCTCTGGGTTCAAATCCCAGTACTACCACCGAGTGGCCATGTGGCTGTCCCTGCTCACAACCTCAGTTTCTGCATCTGTAAAGTGGGACAGTCGTAACATCTGCTCAGACAAGGCCAGAGGGCCACGAGAGACGTCGCTGTATTTTACTGCCCTGCAGTGGTACTCTCCCCGTCATTGGGTGGGTAACACGCCCAGCTGCAGTTCTGACATCGGCCTGCTTTACAGGGGGGGAAACTGAGGCCGGGACAGCTCAGGGGACTTGTTCAAGGTCACACAGCCAGTTGGCAGCAAGGCCAGATTGCAGTCCCAGGGCAGGCATAAGGGGACCCCGGAGGGCAGGGGACACAGATGCAACCTGGTCCTCGCCATCTCCCCAGCCCCGTCCCGGGCCTCACCACCAGGTCCGGGGGGAACAGGGCGTGGGTCATGCGGGTCACGTTCTCCAGGGAGAACTGGAAGGAGTAGTTGAACAAGCGGAAGTCATTGAAGATGGCCGGGCAGTCCCGAGGACAGATGTCCTGCTGTCCGCTGAAGGTGGAGATGGTGATGGAGTCCGTCCAGGAGGAGCAGGGCTGCATGCTGGTGAAGCCCCCGTCGATGTACCTCTGGGGGGCAGGCGAGGGTGCTCAGGGGGGCGGCAGGGGCCTGGCTCCGTGGCCCAGCTGGGTTGGAGGCAAAGAACCTCTACCGGACCAGAATCCGCCCTTATTTTATGAGACCGAGGGCCTCATGGACGTGGGAGAGACGGCTCCAGGGTCCCTGTCACTGAGCTCCTGGTCCCCACTTTCAGGGCCGTACTTCGCTCTCGCGGGCTTAGGAAAGTCTGCCCAGCCTCGTAACGGGCTGGAGTCCAGAGGAGCTTACCCGGGGCAGGCAGACCCACAGGAAGGCCCAGAGCCCCTGCACCGGGGACTCCGATGGAGAAACACAAGCGGCCCACATTTGGAGGCCACACCTCTGGTCTCCGAGCTCAGGCCCCCCGTGTCCGGGTCCCGGCTCGCCCCCAGCACCAGGGTCACTCACCACACCGCGGTAGGTCGGGGGGATGAAGCCGCAGTACACGGGGACGAAGCAGCTGCAGTACAAGGCCTGGGGAGAACAGGACTCGGGGTGGCGCAGGTCCGGCTGGGCCCCACTCCAGCCCGACTTCCTTCGACCGAGGTGAAGGCGCCAGACTGGCGAGCGGAGCCCCGCTTCCTGCCTCGGAGCTGACCCGCTATGGACTGAAACGGGGGCCAACATGAACTTGTCTACCCTCGAGCTGCGGGTGTCCGGAAAAGCGGCTTAGGACAAAGGTTGCCCTGGCAGGAGGGAGGCGAGAGGAGCCTGGGGAGCAAAGGTTCCGCTTCCGGGCGCCCCGGGGCTGCTCGCCTCGATGAGCTCCTCCTTGGACGTGAAGTCCGACACCACCACGCTCTCGCCGTCCTCGAAGCGCGTGAGGCCCACGTGCAGCTTCCCCGTGGCGGCCTTGTAGGCGTCCTCGGGCAGCGCGGTGTACAGGAACCGCCGCATCATCTGCACCATCCCGCAGGACGGCGAGAAGGGGCCCAGGAAGGACTTCTTCACCTCGGCCAGGCCCAGGTTCAGGACGCGCAGGTACTCCTCTGCAGGGGCAGAGCGGGCGGCGTCACCGCAGGCCGGGGCGGACCGAGCGGAGCCCGGCCGGAAGGAGGAGGTCCCCGGCCGGAGGGGCCCCAGCCAGGGCTGTGCGGGCTGATCGCTGGGATCCCTGCCCTACGCGAGCCTCCCCGGGAAAGCTACGGAAATAGCTCCGAAAGGAGGGCTCGGCCTTTTAGGCAAATGTATTTATTTCTTGGCCCTGGGACTTGAACCTTCAGTTTCACGTGTACTAACTCTGACTACAATTGACCCGGCCCTTGCGCAAGTACTGGATTGTGAAATATCCTACGTGGACGGACTTACTTCCCCTTGATGCCAACGCACTGGTCGCATCGTCCTTACTGCTTTCTGAAGCAGTTCTGGAAGTACTCTTTTGCAAGGGTCTTTTCGTGGTATGATAAAAAATATGGTGATTGCTGCTGCCGAGTGCCACCTAATGGAAAAGGAGGCTCATAAAACTATGGTGCTGGGCCGGGGATTGGGCTTGGTGGTTCTGCCGCCTGCCTCCCAGGCGCAAGGTCCTGAGTTCCATCCCCGGTACAAAACAAACAAACAAACAAACAAGATGCTGTGTCCCCATCCACCTTATTCACTGGATCTGGCAGCGGTGACTTCTGGCTCTTTCCTAAAGTCAAAAAGACTGGGAGTCGTTCTGCACGTTGAGGCCACCAGGACAGTGCCACTCAAGATACAAAAGAGGACATCCAGAGCCGCGTCCGAAGGTGGCAAGGACAGTGGGGTGAGTGTGTCCGAAGGGAGGGGAGGATTTTGAGGAGATTAACAGCAATATGTTTTTATTACAGTACAGTTTTTAGAGAGTTAAACATTGCTTGCACTTTTAAAATCAGACCTCATATCCAGGAGGCTCTCAGGGTGTGTATTACTCTCCCGCTCATACAGTGTCAATGACTCACCTAAAATCACATCCAGCAGTGAGGACAAACCAAAACCAGGAATGCTTTTTACCTTTTGCTACACGGTGTACAGATTATACCATCCTGGAGATGGGCAAAATACAGTAACTGGGGACCATTGTACAGATGTGGAAACTGAGGCAGAGAAAGACTTAGCGTCTTGCCTGAAGTCACACAGCCAGGCAGCGGGTTTTTCTGACTCCAAACCCTGCCCTTGAGAAACTTCCCCAGGTCCTGGACTGAGCAGAGGGAGGAAGAGGCCAAGCCAGCCTGGTTGCCAGTGGCCTTCTTTCTCCAGCAGGTGTTCAGGGCCAGGCCTGCATCTGCTGACAGGTATCCACCTGCGAGAGCGAACGTACCAGCTGTCACCCTCTCGGGGGAGTGTGCCGGCAGGAGAGGCCCTGTGGTTTTAGGGAAGTCGGCTCTGCCTTCCAGGACTTGTACGAACAGCATTTCTCTCTGGGGAGATCAGCAGCCAGCTGGAGAGCAGGTTACGAAACAACTGGGATCTTGCATGCTGCAGTGTTAAGTCACTGAGGTCTGACGTGTACGACCAGTTGGGACAGGGAAATGAGCCAGGACGGGGACTCACTCTTTGTTGGAATTCTTTTCTTTATTTTCTTTCTTGTTTGTTTTTTGTTTTTTTCCAGTACCAGGGATCGAACTCAGGACTTTGCACTTGCAAGGCAGGTGCGAGGCCACTGAGCCAAATAACCCCCAGCTCTTGTTGGAATTCTTTTTTTTTCGTACCGGGGATTGAACTCGGGACCTTGCCCTTGCGAGGCAGGTGGCAACCACTGAGCTAAATCCCTGGCCTGCCTCACTGGAATTCTTTTTTTTGTTGTTGTTTTTTTGAGACAGGGTCTCACTATGTAGTTCAGATTTGCACTGGAACTCACTGTGTAGCCCAGGCTGGTCTCTTGCAGAGATCCTCCTGCCTCAGCCTCCTGAGTGCTGGGATTACAGGCATGCGCCACCATGCCTGGCTTCTCACTGGAATTCTTAATGAGCAGCCTAAAGCCTCACTAAGGTCCTTTCCCCCAGCTCAGGGCTGAGGAACCTGACTCAATTTCTACACCAAACCTGCTTCTGTCACACAAAGCATATACTCTTTGTGGATCAAACAGTTTGTAAAAGTAAAGACAAGTGAAAAGGATTGCCGTGTCTTGGAATTCCTCTAGCCGGAGAGTAACATTTGGTCTGACTTCTTCGGCTATGTATTTTGTTTTCATTCTTACAGGGAATCATACTGTACACTAGTTGTACTTGCTTTTTCATCTAATTCAGCTCTGGTCAAAAACATCTGTATTCATAATGTAATTTTAAAGCTTGAAAAGCTATTGTGAGGTTATTGAGAAGGTCCCTACCGGGGTTTAGCTGAGTTACTTTATTTATTTTGTTATTGCTTGCTTGCTTTTCTAAATTTTGGGTACGACCTTAATTGTATTCCTTGGAATAAATCCCTGGGAGCGGGGACTCCAGGTCGGAGGTATTTAAAGCCCTCTCATCCGGACTGCAGTGTATTCTCTGTGGCCAGGCCACGCTGCCGTTCAAGGGTGGGGATGCGGACAGGAACAGAAGAGCGGTCAAGACAATGGAAACAGTGCTGCATTTCCAGTGTGCGCTCATCTGGAAATCACTGATGCCCGTCCAGAATCACGTTGCCAGGGTGGGTGGGCTGGGCTGTCTGGTCTCTCCCGGTCTATGCCCGGTTTAAAGCTCTGTCTTGATGCTTTACTGGAGCTGTAAACCGAAGGCTGCTTCTATCTCTGCTGTGTGCCTTTGTCTCCAGCGCGCCCTCCCCTTTTCCTCCCCACGCTCTGTCCTTTCTGGCCCTCTTTTCCCACCTAGGGGAGAAATAACTAATCTTCTGGTCAAAACAAATCCTCATTCATATGAAGTCAAGTCTTCGGGGTAGAAGGTGAACTAAGAGTAGGGACACATTTGGCTTGCTTATTTATGCAAATAGATAAGCCCCGTCTCCCTCGTAAAAGCCTCCTAAGCTCAGGCTGCCTTGCTGCGGGACAGAGGGTCCCACACTGACAGGGAGGATCCTGGCCAGGAAACTCAAGATTGGTTGGTCCCAGCCCAGCCCCGCCAGCCGCAGGAGAGATTCTGAGGCCAGGGCTCTGCTGTCCCCTTGTCAGTGCCCTGTCGCCACACTTGCCCCTGCAAGGCCCTTCCGAAACCTTCCGTAAAGGCTGAGCCCCGTCACAGAGCCTCCTAGGCCATGTGGGAGGTGCTCAGTGTTTGTTTGGGGAGTGAACAGAGGAAAATAAAAACCTAAAGTTAAGGGAGATGCCCCTGGGAAAGGGCTGCTTGACTTAATCATCCAGTAGTAGCTTGAAGGCAAGATCGTCCCAGATGATGGACGAGGGACAGAATTAACTCTCCGGATTCTTGCTGTCAACTCACCAGGCTTTTTGAGTCTGTTGTGCCCAGAACTTCTATAGGGAGATAAGGAATTAAGATGCTAGGACTAGGAGAATTTTGAAGGGTACCTGAAGCTGCTCTCTGTGCTATGCAGGGATTTTCATTCTTTTCTACTGCTTGGGAAAGAAAACATTGCCTCGTATGACCTGGGCTATCACTGGTCAGTTAAATAACTCTTCAGACTCGGTTTGGCCGCCTGTGAAGATGGGACTAAGAATGCTTCTTTTTGTTTTTGTTTTTTTCTTTTGTGGTACCAAGGATTGAATTCAGGACCTTGCACTCGCGAGGCAGGCAGAGGTGCCACTGAGCAAAACCCTGTGCCTATGATTGCGAGTCACGGGGGAGGCATCTGTCGAACCCCCTGCCCTCGTAAGTGCTTACTGCTGGTTGTGCCGGTCATGCCTGTGTGACCTGACTGAGGCTTCTGGTGTTTCTCTCAGCCTTCTCCCCTGAAGAGGAGCAACGATCCCTGAAGCCGGATGGCACGGAGAGGGAGCCCCCGTTTCGCAGTAGTGCAGGCGCCGTTGACAACACCCCCCCCCGTCAACTTGGGGAGACCCCACAGGCTGGGCGTGGGGGGTGCTAGACGGGTCACTGAAGGAGAGGGAATTTTATGTATGTGCGTGAGGACCACCGCCTTCTGGGAGCAGAAGGGTCTCTGTCTTGTTGATGCTTTTGTTCCTAGAGCTCGATATCAGCCTGGAACACTGGTAGGCACTCGACACACATGAATGCGTGCGTGAATCATGAATAAATAATCAAAGAGAGATACTGAGGCCCGGAGAGAGGAGGGAGAAGCAGCTATACAAACATGACCCAGAAGGTAAAAAGAGGCCCTTTCATCTCGCCTCCACATTACCTCCTGCTGAGTGAAAAAAAAAATCCTAGAAATATGGGCACTTGGAAGCTGATAATTTAAGCTGCTGGGGATCCCGTTCCCAGGGAGCTCGAATGAGGTCTGCTGTTCTCCGAACCGGGTGGAGGGTGAGGCTGCGGGGCTCGCGGTCTCCCTGGACTGGTAACCTAGCAACAGCCTCCAACTCAACCAATCACCGTGAGGCACCGCTGTCAGCCCTTCCCCTTAGCAACGCGCCCTGGATGCCGAGGATGGGGGGGCCCCTGGGGAGGCGCGGGGTGCACAGCTTCCCCAGGAAAGCCCCGCTAGTCTCTGGGTTTCTGCATGAAGAATCTGAGTCCGCAGCTCCTACCTAGTCCCAAATTGCAGGCTGAATTCTTGGCTGTATTTCCCTGGGGTTATATCTTGACTACCAGACTGCACAATGATAATAATTACTATAGTCTCAACCACCCTGAGTTGTTTATTCCTGAGCAGGGTTTCCCGCCTCTAATCTATTTATCCTCACCGTGACAGCTGGCCCCGTGGGGGGGGTGACACTGCTTTTGTCACCATTTTATTTCTATACCCTGTACTGTGGGTGCATTGATTAAAAACAGTTTGACTTGGACCACTCATACAGACCCTAAACACACGGCTTTCTGAGTTCAAGAGATCAGGTGTGACCCTAGACCCTGTCCCATCTCGCTGTCCCCTGCCTTCGGAAGGCAGCCCCTCAAGGTAAACTGAAAATTCTGAGAGCCTTGGTCAAGAGCACTCATCTGGGTGATTTCTTTCATTT